TAACAAGTTTGATTAATTAAAAAACAGATGTGAAAAGACCTGTTAATCATTTAGCTCAGTAATTATAAATACAACTTATCAATTAAAAAATAAAGCTTAAAAAACTTAATGGGAAGGAAATAATAATAGAAATAAATGAAAAAGAAAAATATACCAGAGAAAAGACTAACAAAGCAAAGTTCATTCTTTAAAAATATTAATAACAATGGTTATATACCTGGTGAAGCAGATCAAGAAAAGAACAAAAAAGCAAAAATTAATATAGATCACACAGAATTTTTAAAGATAAAAAATTATCATGAACAATTTTGTCAATATATTTGAAAATTTAGATTAAACTGACACATCTTTAGACAAAGAAAATTTATCAAAATATGAAAAAAACTATAACTACTAAAGAAATTGGATCCATCATTAAAAATCTTTCCACAAGGAAAACTCCAGGACTAGGTGCTATTGTCAGTGAATTCTACCAAAAATTAATACTACATTTATTAATACTACATTTATCATAGTGAATATATGATGCCAATTTATAGAAACTTTCCCAGAGATATTAAAAGAGGGAACAACTCCAAATTGGCCAGCATAATCTTGATACTGAAACCCATTTTACTCATGAACACTGACGTAAAAATTCTAAATAAAATATTAGCAAATCTGATTAAGCAATGTATAAAAATAATAACACACCTTGACCAAACTGGGTTTTCTTCAGCCATGCACGTTTGATTGTATATTTCAAAACCAGAGAATGTAATTCACCACATTAACAGAATGTCAACCCATAGTCTTTGGTGCCACTTCAAATGCCAACAGGAATCCCCAATTTGGGGTGCAGTGAAGAAGGAAACTTTATTTTGCACAAACGGCTCAACCGTAATACAAGATGGCTGTGAAAACAACACTGCTGTGGAACAGCTCCATAGTGTTACAGCATGGCAATGAAAAAAAAGGCTGTGAGGCAGCCCTGGGGCCAGGCCCCTCTTTAGCTAGGCAGCTCCATGATGGCCACTCTGCTCTGCCTAGCTTCACATCCCACATGATCTATTCTGCTCTGCCACTGTCTGCTCCTGGGAAATACAATCTTCTGTCTCCCTGTTAAGTGCACTCTTGGAGCCAAAGTGGGGCTGGCTTAGATAGAAGTTCCCATCCCTGGTCCCTGATTGGTCAGAATAGAGTCACTCTGATTGGTCAGAGTTGTGCAGACCCAATTGAATGGGGAAAGCCATCAGTTTTATTGGTTGAAATAGGACTCCAGGAACTCTTTTAAAAGGGCTGGCTCAGATGGTAGAAACAGTGCAGGCAGGCTAGCTAGCGCAGAAGTTTCCTGGTAGTGCAGTTTGCATGAGGCCCCAGTGCAGAAATGGCTGCGAGGCTCTATTTTATTTTATTTTTTTTTTACTTTTTTTTTTTTTACTTTTTTTTTTTATTGCTTAAAGTATTATAAAGGGTATTACATATGTGTCCTTTTTTTTATTTTTTTATTTGAGCTCAGTTAGCCACCAGGAATCCTTCTTAATAGGTGTGTTTTTTTTCAGGGTTCACAAGAATAATAATATATATGATCATTAATAGATTCAGGAAAAACACTTGATAAAATTCAACATCATTTGTGATTGAAATCTGTAGCAACAACTAGGAATAGAAAACATTTTTTTTTTTATGGTAAAGAACAGCTACAAAAAGAAACTAGAAAAATCTTATTAAATAGTGAAATGTTAAAGGCTTTCCCTCTGAAAATAGCAATGAGGAGTCCCCATCACCTCGTCTGTTCCACACACTGTACTACTGGAGGTTCGGGCAACAGGAAGAATAAGAAAGAAAAGCATAAAAAACAAACAAAGGAGACATCTGTAATACTTTCAACAATTTTTAAAAAAGAAATAAAAACACAGGCAGCAAAAACTATTTGAGAATTTTTTATACATATAGAAAATCCAAAAGAATCTTCAAATTATTGGAGTAAGATTTTTAGATATAAGGGCAACAACAAAAATCAAGTTATCTATATACATTTATAGAAAAGAAAATTTTAAATACTATTTAAAATAGCAAATTCTAATAGAATAAATCTAATGAACAGTATACCAGACCTCTATGTAGAATGCCATGAAATGTTTTTAAGGGAAATGTAAAAACCCAAATAAATGGATACACTGTCCATAGATGGGAAAAAACAGTATTGTCAATATGCCCTTTCTCCGCACATTCATTTAATCCAATGCAGTTCCTATCAAACTTCCACAGGTAATTTGTGGAAATTGATGAACCACATATATATGGAAAATTAAAGGGCCCAAAATAGCCAAGACATCCACGAAGATGAACAAAGTAAGAATTAATCAACTCATATTAATTCTTACTATAAGCTCTTGTACTTAAGGCATTGTGACAGGCAAACAGATAAACAGAACAGAATTTAAAAATGTGGAAACAGCCCTGGCCAATTTCTCAGTGGTTAGAGCATTGGTCCATGGACTAAAGGGTCACAAGTTCAATTCCCTGTCAAGGGCACATACCTCGGTTGTGGACTCCATCCCCCACAGGCTCCAATCTGGGCAGTAGGCCAGTCCTCTCACATCTGCTTCCTTCTCCCTCTTCTCCCTCCCCTCCACTCTCTAAAAACATCAATGGAAAAAATATCCTCAGGTGAGGATTAAAAAAAAAATTGGAGTATATAGAACCTTGATTTATGACAAAGTTGACACTGTAGGGCAATGAGGAAATGCTAGTCTTCTCCTCCTTGCCTCTCCAAATATATTAATGTAATATGGATTGTTAGAAATGTTGGCTGGATATACTTAATTGAAAAATAGATTTGTTATCTTCTATGGATATGTCAACAGCCTTTGCTATTTTATAAAATCTTTGGTTGTTTCATTAGCCTGGCTTTTTCTCCCAATTTTTGACTAGATGGTATTATTATGGGAAGAAAAATGGTGTAAGAATGTGTGACACATGTTTAATATTTATCTATCTTACTATATATTTATCTAAATATAGATGCACATAAATATGCTTGGGTAAAGACAGTGATGGTGGATAGGTGGTTCAAGGTAAGGACAAATGTCTTGAGTGGCATATAGCGTGGTGAGAAGGGAAAGTGGCAGATAATTGAAAATTCTATTATACTACAAAAATTGTTCTACTAGTCACATAATCATTCCATAAATATTTATTGAATTCCTTAAATTTACAAAACATTGTTCTAGGTACTGGCAATATAATAATGCACAAATAAGACATGATCCCTGCTCTCATGGAGCGTACATTCTAATGTGAGGAACAAACTACACAGTTATTTCATTGTTGTGATGAATATAATGAAGTCTATGTGCTATTGAAGCATATATCGTACATACAAAATGGAAGCATATGTTAGGATATCAAAGGGGAAGGATGCTTGAGTTAGTTTTTAAATAAAAGGACTTAATTGATGATGATGGGGAATGGGAGGGGCATAATTCCAGGGTATTACATGAAGCAACTGACTGGTACGTAGTGAGCAACAAGGACAGTGGCCTTGGATAGAACTGGTGTGGTAGGGAGGGACAAAAAGCACCCAAGGACTTGTCTATTGGGTTAATAATTTTGTTCTTTATCCTAATATTGGCAGGATGCCATTAAAGAAAGGATCTTAAGCAACCACACCAATGCAGAAAGCAAGTTGGTATTGCAGAAAGAGTTTTGGTCTGGCAATCAGACCTAGAGCAAGGATTATAGGCCTTTGAGGAAATTATTGGCCTCCTGGAGTGACTTCCTCCTGCCTAAACTATGAATTTGGACTAGATGAACACTAAGGTTTCCTTCAGCTCAAATTCTACATTTCTGTATATTCAAAGCCAAAATGTCAGTTAAAAAGAACTTAAACATATACATACATGCATATACCAAGGGTACAGACAATAGTGTGATGAAGGCCTGGAGTGGGGCAGGGGCTGGGTAGAGGAGGGCAAAGGGTGGGAAAATGGGGGACATCTGTAATATTGTCAACAATAAATATTAACAATAAATTACAAAAACATACAGTACATTTTAAAAACATTTTAAAGTAAAAAAGATTAAGTTATAGTTGACATACAATATCATATTGGTTTCAGGCATACAACATAGTGATTAAACATTTATACTAGTATAACTTATGAAATGATCACCCCCTAAGTCTAGTACCCATCTGACACACTGGTCATGTTTTGGTGAACTCTTCCCATGTGTAGAAAAGAATAACGTTTAGATCCAATTAAGAATCATAATTTAATCTACACAATGGGATAGGGCTGAAGTTTCATTGTCTCAAAGAAGGCTGGGCAGTCTTTAAGAAGGGAAGTGGGGAAGAAGATGGTAGTGACCAGATGGCTTGTAAGGACAAAGGCAGCAGGCAGACGCAGGCAGATGGGTGAAGCTCACCTTAGTAGGATCATTTAACTTAAAGGCAGCTCGTGGCAAAGGAAGTTTAAGAGAAGGAAGGGATTATCAGCAATCCGCTTCCCCACCATTTTGAGGCGTACAATTGGCATTTCCTCAAGTTTGTGTCTTGCTTAATGTTTTGCAAAAACAGTATCGAGCACCCCATTCCTTGAGATTTGCTCAAATAAAACTATAAAAACCCTGGAGCCCAGGGGAAGACGCCTTTACAATCTGAAGGACCACAGTGTTGGCTGGTGTGGGTTTTGAGGGAGGAGTAAGTGGAATGAACTGTAATTCCCACGTGTTAAAGCTAAAGAGAATCTCGGCGATCGCCTTCAAAGCACACTCTTCATTTTACATAGAGGACACCCGACACCGTAGAGACGAGTGATTTCCCACGCGGAGGCGCCTGCCCACCGTCCGAGGGTCTCTCCAGCAGCCGCGGTGGCCCGGCCAGCCCCTCCCCGGTGAAGCCGCAGCCCTCCCCCGGCCGGGGCAAACCGGGAGGCTGGACGCGGCGGCCTGGAGTACCCGCCTGCCCGGGCTCCCGTCCTTCTCAGGGCCGGCCCGCCGTGGCCCCCTCTGGTTACCCCCGTAGGTGCTGGGGAGGCTCAGGGGCGCCGGGCGGGACACGGCGCCCGCCACCAGCCGCAGGCGCTGGGCGAATCGCAGGTTCTTCTGAATCACCGAAGAGACGTCTCAACAGGCGGGAGCGCAGTGGTCAGCGCAGACCACAAGGTCACCCCCCGGCCAGTGGGCGCGGCGGCCCCGCGCGGCCGGTCCTCGGGGAAGCGGAACCACGGCCGGCACGGAGGCGGCCTGGCGCGGGGAAGCCGGGGTTCCGCGCGTTTCCTTCCCCTACCTCCGGCCACCGGGAGAGTCGAACTGGGGCCCCAAGTGGGGGAGCGCTGGCCCTGGGACACCTTCCTCCTCCTCCTCCTCCTCCCGCGGTCGCGGCGGGAGAGCAGGTGGCCACCCGCACAGGATACTTGGCTCCGCGCGGGGCGAGCAGAGGTGGGCCCTGAGGAGGCCTGGACCGGAAGCGGTGGCTGTCATAGCTACCGGGGGTCCAACCGGCCCCGCCCCCACAAACCGCAGATTTGGGAGAGGACCAGACCGGAAATCGTTGTTTCCATAGTAACCCCTGAGCGGGTTGCCTGGGAGCTGACCCGTTTTGGTCTCTTTGAATCTCTGCTGTAGCGTCATTTCTAATGCAGATCCAACAGATCCTGGACTGACTCCTGCCATGATTCCCGGGAAATTCCGCTCTGTTTCTGGCCGGGCTACGAACAACGTAGGTTGGGTGTCCTCCTTTCCCTTCTTTCCATTCGCATCGTCCTTTCTGTGGCGTCTTTGTCCTGGTGATGTGTGATCCGGGCTAGGATGGCTGAGCCTTAAGCTATTGTCTGGCCGCGGCTCGAGGTTCGAGCACCGGGCCCAGCCACCTGAGGGTGTTAATATTGTATGATGGGGTTCAGCCTCGTCCCAGATCCGCGCTTCCCAGGAGGTGGAGCTGATCTGCTGTGAAAGGCTAAGGTTCATTTAAACTCCTTTCACTAGTCAATTCATTTTTTTAGCTTAAGAAAATAATTTATTATTAATTGACACTCCCAACTCCTTCACCTTTTTCACTGAGATATTTACTTAGGCCTGAAATGGCAAGTGTCTAGATCCTGAGGTGCTAAGTAGAGGGTTAAATTGCTGCAGACATTTTAGAAAATAAATCACAGTGAAACCTTTAATTCTTAGTTGTGATTTTGTTTTCAGCAAATCCTCAGAACATGATCATATAGCAGTAACAAAGAGCAAACATTCTATTTGTTGTATCTTTATTTGTATTATTTTGGGGAGGTGTGTGTGTGTGTGTGTGTAAGTTAACATATTTTATGGTTTAATTTTTACATTGCAGGTGAACTGTGGGCTTCATCTGGTTATTCAAACATCACCTTTTCCTGAGAAAAACAAAGTAAGAAATAGCAGCATGATTTAAAGAGTAAAGTCTGAACTGGAAATTTTAAGTATATTTATTTTAGTCTCTACTCTAAACCTTTTTTTTTTCTGTCTGCATAAAGCCAAAAAAAAAAAAAAATCCCCCAAAACAAAAACCAAAAATACCACAAAACAACCTCTTTTAAAAACTGAATCTTATTTCACCAATTGCAAGTGGTAAGGTTTTTGTATTTTGTTTTTTATATTTAAACATTTCTTAAATCAGGATCTTTCTTAAAATTGATGGGACATTGTAGTTTAATTGGGAAAGTCTTTTTCTTAGTAATGGGTAAAGGTGTGTTTTACTACTGATGGAATCTTATAATGGATAAAATGTAATAATTTGGAGGGGCCTATCTATACATTCCATTTCAAATCAGGGGAGGAAAATAGATTTGTAGTGGAAATATATTAGGCTTAATGATATTTAGAAGTTATGATATGAAGATGAGATTTTTTTCTAAACAATTTTACCATAATATCTCTGGTATTTCCGTAATTTCTGGCTTTTCATTTGATTTTTCAGGTACACATTTTTCTTTCTCTCCTATCTAACCTCAGCATTCAAACATACCTCCCCATAATTGTATCAAGACAGAATATAATTTTTCTCCTTTGAGCAAGTTCTACACCTCAAAACATCACAATTCATTTTTTTCCCCCTGAAGAAAATGCTTAATGGATGTCACTGGAGGAACTCTAAAGGAAAGGGCAGAGTTTGTAGATAACAGCTCGAGGAGGGTAAGGAGGGGCATAAGAAGGGTGGATGGAAGGACACAGTTAAGGAGGCAGCAGTTGCTTACATTTGGTGTATGAAAATGAACACTTGGAAATTAGACCATTTGATCATCTTGAATAAATAACAGTTAGCTAGATTAAGTGAAAACATTCTCTATTATAATTGGCCTTAATGGATTCCCTCCAAAGCTTTGCTAATTGATCTCATTGGACAAATCCTACCATTATAATGTGTTTCTAAGAATGATGTACCTCATTCCAGTTCTTTCCAAACAATTCATTTTCTCTTATGTGGACATAATGTTTTAAGAAAACACATTTAGCTCGTATAATTCATAAGAAGATAATTCAAATGCTATTATAATGTTTATAGTATGGGTGAATCAGAAGCATCATAATTCTTTTAAAATACATATTTAAATTATTTTGTGACTAATCATGAGATGTTTGATTTTTTTTTTCAGTTCTATCAAATAATTTAAAATAAATTTAGAGAAATCCCTTGTTAGAAGGTTTAGGTATATAATTTTATTATGTTATAATTGAACTCTTAAAGGAATTCTAGTGATAAAAACTGATTTTTTTCCAACAGAATTTAGTTTTTATTTATGTTTTTCCTTATGTTTGTGAGAAAATGATTCTTTTAATCATTGTATTTGTGGTGAGGGTATGGAGGAACTGGAAGTGCCTCAGGGAGCATGGTTTCATCTGACCACATAAAATTGACTCAGATTGTATGTGTGTGTTAAAATTCACATAACATAAAATTTACCATTTTAATCATTTTAAATTGTACAAATCAGTGGTATTAAATACATTCACAATGTTGTGCACTCATCACTACTGTCTACTTCCAGAACATTTTATCACCAAAGGGGTGTTCCTGTAACCATTAAGCAGTCACTCCCCATGTCCTCTACCCTACGCCACTGGAAGACACAAATCTGCTTTCTGTGTCTATAGATATTTTTACACTTTAATGGTGAAGGTGTGACAGATGTTTCCTCTCCCCACTTGCTACCTCACTTCCCCTATTCCCATCCCCTCCCCAAACCTTCCATATAAGTTCTTTGGTTAATCTCTTCCCTTTCTCCCCCACTCTCTCCCCTGCCTTCCCCTTTCCCTCTGAAATCATGCTTTCATTGTCTTTGGATCTATTTTGTCAATTGATTTTGTTCATTAGATTCCACATATAAATGAGATCATATGATATTTGTCTTTCTCTGACTTCCTTATTTCGCTTAGCATAATACTCTCCAGCTCCCTCTCAAAGGGTAATAAATCCTTCTATTTTACAGTTGCATAGTATTCCACGGTGTAAATGTACCATAGTTTTTAAATCCATTCATCCACTGATGGGTACTTGGGCTGTTTCCAGGTTTTAGCTATTGTGCTGCTGTGAACACAGTGGTGCATATATTCTTTCTGATTGGTGTTTCAGGATTCTTAGGATATATTCCCAGAAGTGGGATTGCTGGGTCAAATGGAAGTTGGATTTTTAATTTTTTGAGGAGACTCCATACTTGTTGTTTGTTGATTTATTGATGGTAGCCATTCTGGCAGGTGTGAGGTGGTATCTCATTGTTTTAATTTGCATCTCTCTGGTGATTAGTGACATTGAACATTTTTTCATATGCCTCTTGGCCATTTGTATGTCCTCTTTGGAGAAGTGTCTATTTAATAATGTTAATTCTACCAATCCTTTTTTTAAAAAAATATATTTTTTATTGATTTCAGAGAGTAAGGGAGAGGGAGAGAGAGATGGAAACATCAGTGATGAGAGAGAATCATTGATTGGCCGCCTCCTGCACACCCCACACTGGGGATCTAGCCCACAACCTGGGCATGTGCCCTTGGTGGGAATCAAACCTGGGACCCTTCAGTCCATAGGCTGACGCTCTATCCACTGAACCAAACCGGCTAGGTCCTTTGCCCATTTTTAATTAGGTCATTTGCTTTCCTTTTGTTGAGTTGTATAGTACTTTCTATATTTTGGAAATTAACCCCTTATCACATGTATCATGTTCTTCTATGCAGTAGGTTCCCTTTCAATTTGATGCTAGTTTCTCTTGCTGTGGAGAAGTTTTTTAGTTTGATGTAGTCCCATTTATGTTTTCCTTTGTATCTGTGAAAATTTTGCTTCATGAGATGTCTGATATTTTGCTGCCTATGTTTTCTTTTAGGATTTTTATGGTTTCATGACTTAAATTTAAGTTTTTAATCCATTTTGAGTTTATTCTTGTGTATGGTTAAGTTGTGTGATCTAGTTTTATTTTTTTGCATATACATGTCCAATTTTTGCAACACCATTTATTGAAGACATTATCCTTATTCCATTATATGCTCTTACCTCCACTGTCAAATATTAATTGAGCATAATGGCTCAATTATGGGTTCTCAATTTCTGGGTTCTCTGTTCTGAAATATTGATCTATATGCCAGTTCTTGTGCTAGTACCAGACTGTTTTGATTACAGTGGCTTTGTAGTACAGCTTGATATCCAGTATTGTGATCCCTCCAACTTTGTTCTTCTTTCTCAAGATTGCTGCGGCTATTTAGATCTTTTTTAGTTCCATATAAATTTTTGGAGTATTTGTTCTAGATCTGTGAAATATGCCATTGGTATTTTAATAGGGATTGCATTGAATCTATAGATTGCTTTGGGTAGTATGGACATTTTAGTAATGTTAATTCTACCAATCCATGAACACAGTATATTCTTCCACTTGTTTATATCTTCTTCTATATCTTTTATCAACATCTTGTAGTTTTCTGAGTACAGGTCTTTTAGCTCCTTGGTTAAGGTTATTCCTAAATATCTTAATTTTTTGTTGTAATGGTTAATGGAGTTGTCTTTTTAGTTTCTCTTTCTGAGAGTTCATTATTGGTGTATAAAAATGCCATAAATTTCCGAATGTTAATTTTGTATCCTGCTACATTGCTGTGTTCATTTATTAAATCTAGTAGTTTTTTGGTGGAGTCTTTAGGGTTTTCTGTGTACAGTATCATGTCATCTGTGAATAATGACAGTTTTACTTCCTCCTTTCTAATTTGGATGCCTTTTATTTTTTCTTCTTTTCTATCACTGTGATTAAGACTTCCAGTACTATCCTATATAATAAAAGCCTAATATTGCCAAGTGTCTGGTTGGCCATTCAACCAATCAAAGCGTAATATGCTAATGTTATGCTAAGGCCACTCAACTGCTTGCTATGACATGCACTGACCACCAGGGGAAGACAATAGACTGGTTGACCAGTTGCTATGACGTGAACTGACCACCAGGGGGAAGATGCTCTGACTGGTAGGTTAGCTTGCTGCTGGGGTCTAGCCTGTTGGGACTGAGGGAGATGGGCCAGACATGCCCTGGAGCCCTTCCGCATTCCCTTCCTGGCTGGCCAACCTCCCATGTCCCTTCCCGGCCTCGATCGTGCACCAGTGGGGTCCCTTGGCTTGGCCTGCACCCTCTCGCAATCCGGGACCCCTCAGGGGATGTCGGAGAGCTGGTTTTGGTCCAATCCCGGAGGCCAGGCCGAGGGACCCCACTGGTGCACAAATTTGTGCACTGGGCCTCTAGTGTTGAATATGCACGGTGAAAGTGACATTCCTGTCTTCTTTCTCTTCTTAGGGGGAATGCTTTTAGTTTTGCCCATTGAGTATGATGTTGACTGTAGGTTTTCATATATGGTCTTTTTAAAAATATATATATTTATATTGATTTCAGAGAGGGAGGGAGAGAAAGAAACACCCGTGATGAGAGAGGATCATTGATTGGCTGCCTCCTGCACACCCCTTACTGGGTATTGAGCCCACAACCCGGGCATATACCCTTGACTGGAATTGAACCTGGGACTCGTCAGTTCTCAGGCCAACGCTTTATCTGTTGGGCCAGACCAACTAGGGCCATATATGGTCTTGATTATGTTGAAGTATGATCCCTCTATTCCCACTTTGCTAAGGGTTTTTATAAAAAACTGGAGGCCCGGTGCCATGCACAGATGGGGTCCCTCAGCCTGGCCTGCACCCTCTCGCAATCCGGGACCTCTTGGAGGATGTTGGACTGCTGGTTTTGGCACGATCCCCGCAGGCCAGGCCAAGGGACCCCATTGGTGCATGAATCCGTGCACCAGGCCTCTAGTATGCATATAAGATCTTTGGTTAATCTCTTCCTGCCCTCCCCCCTCCCCCCTTCCCTCTGAGATTCATCAGTCTGTTCCATGTTTTCATGCCTGTGCATTGAGCGTCTTCCCCCTGGTGGTCAGTGCACCTCATAGCTACCGGTCAAATGGTTGCTTAGGTTTTTATATATATAGTTGGGTTTTGGATTTTGTCAAATGCTTTTTCTTGTATCTATTGATATGATCATGTGGTTTTTGTCTTTCAATTTGTTTTTGTGACGTATCACATTTATAGATTTTTGAGTATTGTACCAGCCTTGCATTCCTGGAATAAATCCCACTTGGTCATGGTGTATGATCTTTTTAATATATTGCTGGATCCAATTTGCTAATGCTTTCTTGAGGATTTTAGCATTTATGTTCATCAGCAAAATTGGCCTGTAATTCTCTTTCTTTGTATTGTCTTTATCTGGTTTTGGAATTAAGATAATGCTGGTCCCCTAAAAGAGCTTGGAAGTGTTTCTTCCTCTTGGATTCCTTGGAATAGTTTGAGGAAGGTAAGTGTTAGTTTTTCTTTGAATGTTTGGTAAAACTCCCCTGTGAAGCTGTTCAGACCAGGGCTTTTGTTTGCTGGGATTTTTTTGATTGCTGCTTCAATTTCATCAGTTTTATTGGCTTATTCAGGTTTTCTGATTCTTCCTGATTCAGTTATGGAAGATTGTATTTTTTCTAGGAATTTGTCCATTTTGTCCAGGTTTTTCAGCTTGTTGACATATAGTTGTTCATAGTATTTTCTTACAATTCTTTATGTTTTTATGGTGTCAGTTGTTACCTCACCTTTTTGTTTCTGATTTTATTAATTTTGATTCTCTCTGTTTGCTCCTTGATGAGTCTGGCTTAAGGCTCATCAATCTTGTTTATCTTTTTCAAGCTAGCTCTTAGATTCATTTACCTTTTGTAGTGTTTTTTCGTCTCTATGTCATTTATTTCTGCTCTAATATTTATTATTTCCTTGTTTCTACTTACTTTGGGATTTTCTTGTTCTCTTTCTAAAATAACTTTTCTTGTTTTGTGAGTTAGGCCTTTAATGCTAGGAACTTCCCTCTCAGGACTGCTTTTGCTGTGTCCCATAGATTTTGGGTTGTTGTGTGTTCATTTTCGTTTCTATGAACTAACTAACTTCCTTCCTTCCTTCCTTCCTTCCTTCCTTCCTTCCTTCCTTCCTTCCTTCCTTCCTTCCTTCCTTCCTTTCTTCCTTTTATTTATTTTTAGAGAGTGAAAGGGAGAGAGGAGGGGGAGAGGGAGAGGGAGAGAGAGAGAGAGAGAGAGAGAGAGAGAGAGAGAAGAACATTGATGTGATAGAGATACATGCACTAGCTGCCTCCCTTAAGCTTCCTGAATGAGGCCTGGGATTAAAACTGTAACCCAGTAACATGCTGTTGATCTGGAATCCAACCCACCACCTTTCCGTCAGGGACTGACAGGTTAACCACTGAGCAAAACCAGCCATGGCTGTTTCCATTAAGTGTTTTATTTCTTAGTTGAGTTCATTGGTAACTCATTCATTGTTTAATAACATACTATTTAGTCTCCATGTGTTTGAATGTTTTTTAGTGTTTTTATTGTGGTTGATTTCTAATTTCATGCCATAGTGATCAGAGAAGATGCTTGATATGATTTCAGTCCTTTTGAACTAGTAGAGACTTATTTTGTGTCCTAACCTGTGGTCTATCTTTGAGAATGACCCATGTGTAATTGAGAAGAATGTATATTCTACAGCTTTGGGGTCAAATGTTCTGTAAGTGTCAATAAAATCCACCTGATCTTGTGTGTTATTTAAAGTCTGTGTTTCCTTGTTGTTTTTTTTATCTGGAAGATCTATCCAGTATTGCCAGGGTGTTAAAGTCCCTTACTGTGACTTCTATAGGTTTTCTTATTCTCAGTTATTCATAAATGGAATTATACAATTTTTGGCATTTTGTGTTTGGATTCATTCACTTAGCATAATGTTTTCAAGGTTCATCTGTATGTTGTAGTATGTGCCACTTACTATATGTTATTTTGTACTTATCTTCATTACTTACTGTTAAGTTCTTACCCAATTTTTAAAAAAATGTTTTTTAGGTTGAATTAAGGCTAAATAAAGAAACACCATCATTCCCTGGTCGACTCTTACAACATGACCTTGAAAGAAACTACTCAAGTAGGCAAGGTATTGTCAATGAGTAGAGATCAAATATGGTTTATCTTCTTTGAGTAATATTGTTTAACATTATTGAATTTCTATATTCAAATAGACTTGAATTAAAAATGAAAGGGTTATTGGTTACCAAATTGGTTTGATATTTACTTAAGTCAGAATTTATTTTATATACACAACATAATAGATTATTCCCAAAACAGAAAAAGATGTATTTTAGTTTGTGGGTGGGCTATGTATAAGAGAATGGGAAGGAATCTTCCAAATACTTTATTAGAAGTAGGAAAAATGGCTAATTAGTGAAGGTAAGAGTATGGAAACATTCTTTAGAAAATAAGGAAACAGTGGGAAGAGTGGAAAGTTAGGAGTGAAAAAGAAACAATCTCCCTTAGTAATGAATATAATTATAGTTATTATATCAAAGGCCTTAAACTTTAGTGTGCATCACCTAAGATCTTGTTAGAAAGTGTATTCTAGCGCTCCACTTGCCCTTTTCCACTTACCCATTCTGATTTTATAGGTCTTAGGTGGCATATATAAATGTATATTTTAATAAATGAAACAAGGGTTTCTAACAGATATGGTTTGTGGACCACACTTTGAAAAATACTGCCTTATTTGATCTGGCTATATTTCTGAAGTGTATTTTTCAATTTAAGGAGAAAATTCCAATATTATATTTGAGTTGTTAGTTGGTTGCTAATAACTATTAGCTATTGGTAGTGTGTAGTATAGTACAGAATCCTATGTACAGTACCATCTCCACCTCCTAGAAGTTTGTGTGAGAGGACTGATTAGTATAGGCCTCTCTAGATTATTCATTTCATTACTGCATCAATATGTGGCAACTTTGAATATTTGATTAGTTTTCACTTTTTATTTTTTATTTTTGGACTTTCCTCATGGGCCCATGTAATCTGACATGATTTTTCTCTTTCCTATATCCTACACTCTTGCCTTGGCCAATTGCTTGGGCATGACATCAGCCTAACTGCAGTTCCACAGTGCAGGAAACATCTCTCTTGACTTCTTTGGTTCAGTTGAATACATATTTATTGAGTATGTAATGTACCAGATACTGTATTAGGCACAAAGTTTTACATGTGAAGAACCTGAAATTTCTCAAGTAGGATTTAAAAAATATTTTATTGATTTGAGAGGGAGACAGAGAAATATCAATGATGAAAGGGAATCACTGATTGGCTACCTCCCCACCCCCCCCCCGCCCTACTGGGGATTGAGCCTGCAACCTGGGCTTGTGCCCTGACTGGGAATCAAACTGGAACCTCCTGATTCAGAGGTCGATGCTCAACCACTGAGCCAGACTGGCCAGGCCATCAACTAAGATTTTTGATGTTTGCATTGTAAACTTCCTTCACATTTTTTATAACAATATCTTATTTTTTATATATTTTTTACAAATTATGAGTAAAAAATACTTTTCCAAGCTATTCTCAAGTTAGAGGGGGAAGTTGGTGTACAGATTTGTGAATGGCTGGCCGCGTAAATTTATTTAAGTTGTAAAGTATTATTAGGTGCTTGCTAATGAGGAAATAATATGGAGGCACTGAATTTTGTGAACATGAGAGATAAAGTCTCATATATAAATAATGACCCATAAATTCAAATTAATTATTTAGGGAAAAATAAACCTATTTGTTTTATTAAAAGATTTTATTCAAAATCATTCTCTGTGACAGGCTACTCATTTGTACCTAGTTGTTTCTAAATGTACCTCCTCCATAGCTTCAGGTAGTTTCATGTAAAAAAGTCCACATAGTATATAGCTGTCTTCTTGACTTTTGCTCACAATTCTACCTTCAAAGGCATAAAACTTTGGAAAAATTATAATTAGCACTGCATCAGAAAATGTTTGGGGATGACTGTTTAATAAACTGCATCCTGATATCTAATCATTATAATTGGCTTTACCCCATTTTTTATTTTTCAAAATTAATTGAACTTATATATATATAGTTGACCCTTGAAAAACAAAAACACTACTGAAACTGTGTGGTCCACTTATGCATGGATTTTTTTTCACTAAAATATGCAGTTGGCACATTGTATTTCTGGGTTGTGTATATGCGGATTCAACCAACCATGGATGGAAGAGTATTTCCACCCATGGTTAGGAATCCGCCTATACTGAGGGCCAACTGTATGCATTGTTCTGTGCCATCCTATATAATAAAAGGCTAATATGCAAATCGACCAAATGGTGGAACGACTGGTCGCTATGACGTGCACTGACCACCAGGGAACAGACACTCAATGTAGGAGCTGCCCTCTGGTGGTCAGTGCACTCCCACAGGGGGAGCGCCACTCAGCCAGAAGCTGGGCTCATGGCTGGTGAGCGCAGTGGCGGTGGCGGGAGCCTCTCCTGCCTCGGCGGCGGCAGTGCTAAGGACTCCTGGGGGAATATCTACCTTTCGGCTTAGGAGCGGGCCTAAGCCAGCAGGTGGACATCCCCTGTGAGTCCCGGAGGGGACGAATCCAGTGCACGAATGTTGTGAATCGGGCCTCTAGTTTTATATAAGGGACTTGAGCATCTATGTATTTTGCTATCTGCAGGGTTGGGGCCCTGGAACCAATCCCCCACAAACACCAAGGGATGATTAAAGATTTTGAAGAGTCAAAAATTATAGTCAAACTTTTTACTGCATGGGGGTCAGTGCCCATTACCCTCATATTGCTCAGCATACTGGTAAATTAACCAATTGTACTCTCAGTCCTAAGCAATGAAACTATATGTTTTAGTTAGACTAGTTAGTCTAAAACTTGGTATGTGATTTCTTTTAGGCTTTTTTAGAATATTGTTTAAAGTTAACCCTGATATCCTTGAGATTTTGTAAGAGTCAGATAGTCCAGAAACTACTATACAGTAAAATCTCAGTTAAATAGACCTAAGTGATCAAATCCCTTAATTAAGAATTCTAAAATGTGAATATAGAGAGGAAGAAGCAATGCTTAACTTTTTATTTTATATTTGTTAATCTTCCCCTGAGGATATTTTTTCCATATATTTTCTAGAGAGAGTGGAAGGGAGGGAAGGAGGGAGAGAAGGAGAGGGAGAGGAAGAGAGAGAGAGAAAGAGAGAGAGAGAGAGAAAAACATCAGTGTGAGGGAGTCAAATTGATTGGTTGCCTCCCACATGCTAGAGATCGAATCTGTAGCCCTTGACTGGAATAGTACCCGCAAACCTTCCGTGCACGGACCAATGCTCTAACCACTGAATAAAACCAGCCACATATATGACCATGAATTATATCAGCCAGCCTCCCACCCATCTATTCATCCATCTTTCTTTCCATCCATCCACTCATCCACCTCTTCATCCATCCACCCATCCATCCATCCATCCATGTATCCATGTATTTAGGGTCAAGTGCAGTGAAGATTCTTACCAAATGTTGAACATTATTCCTCTAAACAGCTGTGAGATTCTAATTATTAAAAAATTCTTTCAACAGTTTTACCCTGATTTTCTTTTTTAACAGAAATACTATATACAAAATAGATTTCCTATTAACTCTTATGGAATTGGAAAATCAATTAATTTACTGATTTCCTATTGAATTTAGATTTTTCCAAGAAAATAAAAATATGAAATGAGGTCTGTCTCTCAAGGAGCTTAGACATTTAATTGGGAAGAGAAAGGCTGCATATCTGGTAAATTAAATAGTGGTATATGAAATAAACAACAGGAAATATTTCCATTAAAATTTTGCTATATAGTAATGCAGTTTATATGTAGGATGAAATATCCCATGTATATATATGGGATTGTGATACACATATATTTGTATATATGTGGGTGTTTATATATCCACATAAATAAGTGGATGTTTCAACACAGATCACTCTGGTCCCCAATCATTTAGAGGATCTTGTTTGTGTATTTTGAGGCTTTTCTACCCAATCATTCTCATCTCTTGCTAATTATTGTAAGCCATATATTACACTGATTGTGATAGTAAGCTCATGGGGATAGTGATTATGACAGGAGCTGAAAAGGGTGAAGATAAAATTCCTTTACTCATTGAGTGTAAATAAAATTTACTGTTTTACTGCCTATACATCCCAAATCTTACAAAATTTAAATCTGCCTCTTAAACTGAGGATTAGCTTGAAGTCTTGGCAAAAGAATTTAAAAAACCTAACTGCTGTTAATAAGAGAAATCAAGGTTGTCTATTGTTTGGAGTTTTTGTTTGTTTGTTTTTATATGACTTGTTAATCCTTTATAGTTAATCCTTAGACTAGTTTTTGTTTGTTTTTATTTCCAAATCAGTTTAATTGAATGATGGTTGCTTGGTATCCTGTTAGCAGCTGGTCATGTCACAAAACCAGGTCATTGGTGAACATAATGTCAATTTAGAATGCTTGTGATATTTCATGATATTTAGAAAAGTGGGTGTGAGCACAAAATATTGTTCAGGAAGCTAGGTGTGTGATATTTTGGTTTATACCTTTCATACCTGGAGAGGCTATCAAATACCATTGCTTTCTAGCTCTTTAATGTGATTTCAAGTTGTCATCATATTGTCTGATGGTCTCCCAAAGAGTATGTTAACTTTCTATATTTAGTTTTATTTTTTTCCTTGTTGGTCAGTTTAAGCAGCAGAATTCTGTGGTAATTTTAAGTTCTATTTTACCGCTTATTGCTCCCTTCAACATCAAGTGCCACTTTCAGGAAATTTGCTTTTCATAGAAGAAAATACAATAGAATTCCTCTGGTGTTCAAACTGTCTCCTTCAACCCATACTCAAATCTTACCTCATTTCTGGAACTTTCCAGCATCTCTTCTTGAACATTCTACATGCTTCTATAGATCTTTAGATTATATCTTAAGATCCACCTTCCGTCAAACCCATCTGTAACTATCTTGATTAAGTGAAAAATAATGAGACACATTTATGTGTGAAGATACCGTTAGGTTTTATTTTTTTATTCTGCATTTTGTGCATGTTCTTCTAAATAGTTTATTTATTTCATATGGGTTTGCCCACTAGATTGAAAGCTACCTAATGGTAGGGATAACATATAACAGCCTAAAAATGTCATGGGGTTGTCATATACCCTGTGGCTCATCATTAGAAGTGTATAAAATTTGTTGACATCTACTTGATTCTACGATATTCTCTATAATAGTAGCCGAGCATACAAAAAAAGTGATGATGTGAGGTTTACATTTGCTATCCAAAGTACTTTCTCTGTATGCCCTGTAGTAAAGTCATATACTATGTAGCTTTGTGATAAACTTTTTGATATTTTGAAGGAGATGGAAGAGTAATAAGCCCTTCACCTCGTAATAAATCATCATGCATCTCATCCACAGCAAACGTGACAGAACTAAATGGGCTGGACATGAAAACTACCATGAACTCCTTATCAGCATTTGGAGATTCTTCCATTCAGATACCTTCCAAGTCCAGAATCCGGCAGGGCTGTCATAGTGCTGGCCCAAATGTATCTGGTAATGAGGGACTATCATCTCAGTTATAAGAGAGTTAAAATTTCGTATTAGGTGTCAGCATTAAAAGGGATAAAGATAAGTTTGAGGAAGAAAGAAAGAAACTCAAGTTTAGTAATTAACTTCAAACATGGAGAGCTATGGAAACTATACTTTCTAGAAAAGATATTTTTAGGTGCCAAAGTTCTCCAAATTTAAGCTTTTAAAGGTTTTTCTTAATCAAGTAATTTGTATATATATCATTTTCAATAGGTGATCATATTAATTTGGTGAGCTCATCAGTGTCATCATTTCACATTCTCCAGCGTTCTTCTGAAGAGAAAATTCTTTACTCAGACAGACTGACCCTAGAAAGGTGAGGACAATTTATTATTTTTTTGACTAGATAATACACAGACATGGTACAAGATTTGATTGGTATAAAAGTCTCTCTCCCTTGTCTCATTCTCCAACTATCCAGTTCTTCCACGTGAGAATAACCACTGTTATCAATTGTTTATTTATCCTTTGAGGGGTATGAGGAGGAATTTTATACCTATGTAACGTAAAATAAAAGAGTACTAAGTAATTCTGTAATATGACCGATGAAAATGGATTTTAGGATAGCAAAAGCTTTGCAATATAGTCGTCACACAGGCTACTGGGCCCTGTTCAGTTGAATCCCCTGTTACCTCACTGGCCTCACCTCCTCCCAATCTCTCCTTTGCTCACTCTGCCTCCTTGAATACACCAAGCATGCTTACATTTTTAGGGCTTTTGCACTTACTGTTCTCACTTCCTTTCCTCCTTTAGGTTTTTACTCAAATGTCATCATCTCAGGGATGGCCTTCCCTGGCCACCCTCTCCAAAATAGTAACCCCGTTCACCCTGACAGTCCCCAGCTCCTTCTCTGCTTCATTTTTTTTAGGTATTATCACTCTCTAATGTATTAAATATTTTACTTATCAAGTTTATTATTTGTCTCCTTCTACTAAAATATAAACTACAAACACTAGGAGTTTTTTTTTGTTGTTGTTCAGTTCTGTATTCCCAGCACCTAGAATAGAACCTGGGACAAAATAGGCTCTCAATAAAATTTTTTGAATGAATGAATATACTTAGGACTTGATCTTCATCATTAAGTCCAGGAAAGTACCTGCAATAGAATAGTGGATGAAGGATCAACCCTACCTTAGTGCTATAATCAGCAAAAAAAAAAAATCTCTGCTGTGCATTCCTTTATCTCAGTACTGTGTATATAATAGCAAATTGTTAAGCAAACTTCTTAGCTTAGTAGTGCATACCTGACAGCAAATGTCACGGATCATTTGTATTTGTATTTGGGAGAAAGCTCTCTGGAGAGTGTGACATGTTGTTTTGTAGGCAAAGTAATACTTGAGGGCAGTTACTCTTATTACATCTTTGCAGAATTATTGGTTTTTGAAATTGTAATGCTAATACTTACAACTTCCACAATATATTTTTTGTTTTTCTTTTTAATCCTCATCCTAGGATATGTTTTTATTGATTTTTTAACGAGAGAGAGGAAAGGAGAGGAAGAGAAAAACATCGATGTGAGAGGGAAACATCAATTGGTTACCAACAGGGAATTGAATCTGCAACCTGGGTATGTGCCCTGACCAGTAATCGAACGTGACCTTTTGGTGCACAGAACAATGCCTGACCAACTGAGCCACGCTGGCCAGGCCACTTTCACAGTTTTCTAAAGTTTTGTTGGATTTTGTGATAATTTTATCTCACTCTTTAAAAGTCCATCCAAGAATAATACCTCAGCCCTTTAGTGTCATGTTACTCGAGACTAACAGGAGCCAGTATTGATAAGATTGTGATACAAGTTAGGCACTGGTGTTGTAGCTTGGGTGACTCGGGCAGTTGTGAAGATTGTCTTTGGCACATGACACAGACTTTGACCAGGTGAAGACTTGTTTAACCAGAAAGTCAGGACCAAGGGAATTGACTCAGCTTCAAAGGCTGGTTATGATGGCAGGATCACAAAGATGTCAGAGGCTTAGGCACAATTTTATTAGTACCAGGATGTGCAGTCATGAAAGGTGGGCTGGCAGTAAGACTGTCAGGGATCATTGTTTGAGAACCAGTAGGTAAGCTCTGTGATTTTCAAAGGGAGATCTGCCATGCTGTGCTTGTTTCTTAGCCGGGAGACTTAAGGGTCAAGAGTAGAATTCAGGCCCTGGCTGAGTGGCTCTATTAGTTGGGGCATTCTGCAGTACACCAAACGGTTGCAGGTTTGATTCCGGTCAGGGCACATACCTAAGTTGCAAGTTTGATCCCAGGTCAGTACATGTCTGAGAGACAGCCAAACAATGTTTCTCTCTCACATAGATCCTTCCTCCTTCTTTCGCTCCCTCTCTCCCTCCCATTGATGTTTCTCCCCCTTCCTCTCTCTTTAAGAATCATTAAAAACAAGTCCTCAGATGAGGATGAAAATTTTTTTTTTTTAAAGAGTAGAATCCAGCCCTGAGAAGAAATGCTTGGAAGAGCTAGGCTCTGTCTGTTCTGGAAGTTAGTATTTAGGCCTGGAGTACCAGGAAGGCAGCTTACCAGCACCTAGTGGCAATCAGAGGCAAAAGCATAATTCAATAGACACCTCAGGGATTTTGTAGGCCTAACAAACTCTCCTTGAGAGCGCTGTGTAATAACCCAGTATGTGTATGTTTGCTCGTTTTGCTGGATGCCAGGGTCTTATGGGGTTAAGGGTTGTGCATATGAGCCTTGGAGTTGGGACTTAGTCACTGGATTTGGAATCTAAGAAAGTGACTTTATTTCAAGTTGCTATGGTTTATATAAGAGGTGGCTCAGAGGGTTGTGTGTTTTTTTCTAGCTTAGTGATACTGACTCAAGAATTGGATGAACTAGACTCTGGGGTATCAGTAATTTTAACTATGAGAAACAGAGGAAGATAGTTTTTTGCTAAACTGATGCACAAAGATAAATTTTAAATGAGAATACTTACAATTTATAGAACAAAAGTACTAAATGAGGTAGTGTAAGTAAGTGCATGAAATGAATTCTAAACACTAAGCACACGTTAAAAGAATTAAACTATTATGTAATATTGTTTTTCTTCTATTTTAAACCAATTTCTTCAGGGTCTGTATTTTTTTAATCCTCACCTGAGGATTATTGATTTTAGAGAGAGGGGAAAAGAGAGAGAGAGAGAGAGACACCTGTTGCCTCTTGCATGTACTCTTGTATGTGCCCCAATCAGGGATTGAACCCACAACCTGGGTATGTGCCCTGACACAGAATGGAACCCACCCCTCTTCAGTGTACGAGATGACTATGATGCTCCAACCACCTGAGCCATGCCAACCAGGGCTTCAGGGTTGGTCTGTATTTTTAAACATCGTATCGTTGTTAACCATTAATATTGTTATTACCTGGTGCTAATGATTTTTTTCTCTTTATGGGGAGGATTCTGATTAGTCACACAGTTTCACTTATGCTTGTAGCACTCTTGATTTGCTTTAAAGGTTTCATTAAATTGATTCTTACTGAAAAGGAAATATTTCTTTTGTTTAAATTTATCTTTTTTGTTGAAAGTATTATAGATGTCCTCTTTATTTCCCCCATTGGCCCCCCTCCACCTGAAAGGAAATATTTCTAATTAATCTCCCTATTAGAGTTGTTCACACAATAAAACTACATTTTTCTTTCTTTTTTTTTTAAATATATATATATTTTTTTATTGATATTTACAGAGAGGAAGGGAGAGGGATAGAGAGTTAGAAACATTGATGAGAGAGAAACATCGACCAGCTGCCTCCTGCACACCTCCTACTGGGGATGTGCCTGCAACCAAGGTACATGCCCTTGACCGGAATCGAACCTGGGACCTTTCAGTCCGCAAGCCGACGCTCTATCCACTGAGCCAAACCGGTTTGGCAAACTACATTTTTCTTGAAGACTCTATTGAGCATCTCAGATCATTTCTATCTGCCATTTTATTATTCTAATAGAATTCTTAAAGGGCCCTGCATGTATTAACTTCACCTATAACTTTTTGCATAATGGAGGTTTACTGTTTTAAATATAGCTAAAGAAATACAATGTTAAGGTTTCATCCTACCCAATAGCATTCTGCAAAGTTCAAAGTTAGTGTTGAACATGTAAACAAATAATTAAAATCTAAATGTCTGCAGAAGTGTTCAATAAAGGAAATTATTTCTATCAAAGTGCACTGTAGATGACTGAATATCTTGCTCTTCCTAAAATATCATTCAGCTCAAGAGTCTACACTACAATTCTATGAGAGATCCTTTTTTATGTTTTTTGTTTGTTTGTTTGTTTGTTTGTTTTTTTCTGGTGACTTAGCTACCTGGGCAGTCTTTTATATCAGTCAATTGATGGCAAGGGCATTTCTCTGGTTATATGACACTAGAGGCCCGGTGCATGAAATTTGTGGACAGGAGGGGGGGAGGGGGTTTGTGTCCCTCAGCCCAGCCTGCACCCTCTCCAATCTGGGACCCCTCGAGGGATGTCCGACTGCCCGTTTAGGCCTAAACGGGCCTAAACGGGCAGTCGGACATCCCTCTCACAATCCAGGGCTGTTGGCTCCCAACCGCCTGCCTGCCTGCCTGCCTGATTGCCCCTAACCTCTTCTGCCTGCCAGCCTGATCACCCCCTAACCACTCCCCTGCCGGCCCGATTGCCCCTAACTGCCCTCCCCTGCCGGCCTGGTCACCCCTAACTGCCCTCCCTTGCCAGCCTGGTTGCCCCTAACTGCCCTCCCCTGCCAGCCTGGTCGCCACTAACTGCCCTCCCCTGCCAGCCTGGTCCCCCCAACTGCCCTCCCCTGCAGGCCTGGTCCCCCCCCAACTTCCCTCCCCTGCTGGCCTGATCCCCCCAACTACCCTCCCTTGCTGGCCTTGTCCCCCCCCAACTGCCCTCCGCTGCTGGCCTGGTCCCCCCAACTGCGCTTCCCCTGCTGGCCTGATCCCCCCCAACT